ATCGTTATTGTCTGGTTCATAACGTTTTCCATAGGCCAAATCCAACAAACGAGTATAACATCAGATGAAACAAAAGCTGGGAAGAAACATGAAATCAATAAAACTAAGGAAAGACTTCATGAATCTGATTCAAGTGAAGAAAATAAATACGGGGTGGAGAAGTTGAGAACAAGAACATCGCCACGAACATTGTATCAAACGATCGTTGGATTAAATGATAACCAAAAGAATGTGGTAAAATAAATGGGGTTAGGCTCTTTATTAGAAATGACGATTAATGGACTGCCATCAAAGCTTGGTTTCTATGTTGTCGACAACCTGGATGTTAAGAAGATGGAGCTGAAGGTTATGAATGGTGGAATACCAATCACAATTGAATCAATCCATAATTTGTTGGGTTTACGAATGGGAGGAATTGATATACTAGAGATGGATGAAGTCGATGATTCAAAGAACATAACAGCTACATGGAGGAAACAGTTTGAGAAGAAAAAGACGCGGCCAAAAGACTTTATAAAATTAATACATAGTTCAGGAGATGCAAGGTTCAATTTCAAACTCAATTTTCTGGTACTATTCGTGAATCTAATGGTTGAATGCAACATCATGGGGTGCTATAATTTTGGTTTCCTCTCGCGAATAGAAAGTGAAGACGTGATTCCAAAAATAGATTGGTGTAAATACATCTATGGGAAAATAAAAACAAGCAAGTCAAGATGGAAAAGGGAAAGTACAATGTGCTTTTATGCTAGACTGTTGACATACCTCACTGTAAGTTTCCTTCATATCTAAAAGCATAAAAAAATCTTTATATAACAAACCCAATATTTCAATTGCAGTTGCTATATGTTGAATTGACGATAAGTCCAACGGTTGTGGTAGATCACAAGGGACATGCACTTTCATCATGGATCATTGATTTGTTAAAGAAAAGACAATCAATAGAAATCATAGACGGAGGATTCGGGCTATTACCTCTACGATCTACTTTTGAATCAAGTGAAGATATACATCCCTGTTACGCTTCAAATCAAAAGAATATTGGTGAAACGTCAACACGAACCCATCTAAGAAAAGAGGTTCAATTTATGTTTTTAATTCCACTCTCACCAAAATATCTATAACACCCCACAATACACATTGCACGTAACATATACTTCATTCATAAGAAATACATGTTTATACACCACATAAGTCCCAAGTACAAGAAATACATATCTTACTGAATACATGATCCACAAATTTAAAATACATTTCTAGTACTAATCCATATTCATCTATCATAACTAGATGTATCATGATCAAATCTTCACACATATATGCATACAGGGAGATATCACATTTTCCATTTCCCTTTACCATCCGAATTTCCTGCAATACATATTTAAACCACAAAATGAGGGTTAGACCGGAAGGTCTAGTGAGATCCCTTTTTCTATGTCATTGCAGGGTAAATATCACCAAAACTTTATTTAAAATCAACTTTTCATGCTTATACAAATATACAAGCATGTAATCCATAATACTTATTCCTTATCAACTTCCAAAGCCAATTACTCGGCTTTATCAATATCATACTCAAAACAAATAAGTTAGAATCTGTCGAATTTTGCATAAAACCACTTTAAACCTTTATATTCAATAACAAGGATTATTTATAGCTTGAGGCCATAAGCCAGATATCATTTCCCTCAACATCATCCATACTACGATTTCCAATAAGAACCATAATCTTGAGTCATTAAATCACAAAGAAAGAAAAACTAAAAACCACAGTAATCTTAAAGGATATAATAGTAAGAGTTATATCACATAACACACAAACAAATGCCACCGTTATATCCAAAGGTGCACCTCTCCTTGATATGCCACTCTTATTTCCTCATTAAAGTTTTACAGAATATTTCCAATTAGAACAGACCAAAGTCACAAAACGTCCTGATGAAATATCATCCATGTTTTATCCCAAAAATAGTTCCAAAACCATTTTATAAAAAAAATTCTCATTCTTTTATCATAATAAAAGAATGTCATGATAATAATTCATCAGATCAAAACACCTTTAGTCAAAAACATAAATCTGGTCAAACTTTGGAAATCTGACCAACACTTGACTTGGTCGACTTCATCTCCGGTCAAGCTTCGGCTGGAATACGAATCCGGACAACATAAGTCCATTCTTGGCCGGTTTACAAATCTGGACAGTATTAAAATAAACCCGGTCAAGCTTTGTCTGGTTTACACCTAAGCCGGACAATATAACAATCGGACTATAACAAGACCGGACAGCCTTGATCGTATTCCTACTTCTCTGTTCAATACACTTAAATCGGACATAGTTAAATTCTCACCAACATAGTTAAATTCTCACCAACATACTAATCTGGTCAATACTATGACTGGTTTTCCCTTAAATCGGACAACACATATCCGGTTTAAGCCTAATCCGGACAACACGTGTCCGATTCCTTATCATAATTCGGACATCACTTGTCCTACTTAAAGCCAAGTCTGGGTAAACAAGTTTGTAAAGTATTTCAGTTTTCATATCAAATTAAGTACTTTTCAAAGATATTAAACCACTCACCTTTGAATATCTTTTGAAATCAACTCCAAGAACTCAGTAAAATAGCAATCCGGTCAACACTTCATTTTTACAACTCTCACTCAAACTCAAAATGGCCAAGAAGAATTGTATGGGGGATTAACCCTCACATATATACCTTTCCAAAAAGAGTATGGCAGCTCTAAAGCCCCTTACATGCATGCCCATGCACCCATGTATGCAAACTCACATACCATGCATATTAAACCATGCATGATCCAGCTTTATGTACATAACATATTTTTTTCATGTATTTTCACATTATGCATGCACATTTATGCATAAAATTCACATACTTGCATGATCAAATATAATAATTTATCATGCTTTCACGTAATCATATAACAATTAATCACGTATTAATTACCTCGGGTGATAACCAAGACCCTATTATCACATTATCCATCCCTCAAAAGAATTCCATCCCGGAATTCCTTTAATCAAAGAGCCATGGATATTCTATTCTTATTTTTGATTCTAGTTCCCGAGTTGCCTCTGATCCCTTATGAAACTGCCACTAAACTTTAACCAAACTGATCTCTTTGTTCCGTAACACCCTGATCTTTCGATCAATCACAGTTTCTAGTGTTTCCACACATTTCAGTTTACTGTCCATCTTAACTTCTGGAAGTGGTATAGCTAGATTTGAATCAGCTATACATTTTCGTAAGTTTGACACATGGAAAGTGTTGTGTATTAGACTGAGCTCCTCTGGTAGTTCTAACTGATAAGCCACTGGTCCAATTCGTTTACAGATTCTGAACGACCCAACATACCTCGGACTAAGCTTACCTTTCTTTCCAAATCTGATAACACCTTTCCATGGAGAAACTTTCAACATCACAAAATTGCCCACACAAAATTCAATCGGCTTCCGACGATTTTCGGTATAGCTTTTCTGGCGGTCCTGTGCTGTTTTGATTTTTTTTTGCAAATTTGTTCAATCTTTTCAAAAGTCTCTTGAACAATTTCGGGACCTGTCAACTGCTTCTCACCTACCTCATTCTAAGACAACAACGTTCGACATTTTCGTCCATACATGACCTCATATGGTGCCGCTTGGATGCTGGAGTGGTAGCTATGATTATAAGCAAACTCTATCAATGACAAATGATCCTCCCACGATCCCCTGAAGTCAATAACACAAGATCTCAGCATGTCTTAGAGAGTCTGGATGGTTCTTTCAATTTGCCCATCTGTTTGCAGATGATATGTTGTACTTAATTGGTTTTTAGACCCTAGAGCTTTTTGTAAACGTTCCCAAAACCTTGAAGTGAAGCGGCTATCTCTATTAGAGATGATAGATAGTGGAACACCGTGCCTGGTTACAATTTCTTTGATATAAATCTGTGCTAACTTTTCTAATGAATAGCCCTCTCTAATAGGTAGAAAATGTGCAGATTTAGATAAGCGGTCCACAATTACCCAGATGGCGTCATACCCTATCGGAGATTGAAGATTTCCATAAGGCTTTTGATGTTCGATCTTAACTTGTAGACACGTTATGCATTGTTCCACGTACCTGTCTATATCCTTCTTCAATCCGAGCCACCAATAGCAAGGTTTCAGATCTTTATACATCTTATTGGTACCTGGATGTATAGAAACGAGACTTATGACTTTCATTCAGAATAACCTTCCGAATATCCCCATAGCAGGGTACCCAAATTCGTCACTCAAGGCACATAATTCCTTAATTATTTGGTTTCAAAGTGGAAATCATTTTACCCAATCTTTCCGGCTTAATATGATCTTCCTTTACAGCTTTCTTCTGATACTTCAATATTTCTTTATGAATGTCAGAAGCTAAGTTTATTCTCATTGCCAAAGTCTTAATAGTGTCACTTCTTTCTTTTCTACTTAAAGCGTCGGTAGGAATGGCAACGGGCCGGGTTCGGGACGGTTTTTAGAGTCCCCATCCCCGAAACCGATAACCATAACCATCCCTGTAACCGTCTCGATCCACGTCGGGGATCTTATCGGGGATCCCCATCGGGTCCCTGCGGTTTCCCCGATCCCCATTGGTAACCCGTTAAGAGCAGAATAACCGTTACCCATTGGTTTTACCCGAACCCGAACCATAACCCGAACCCGAACCCAGATCTGAAAAAACATATATTTATCAAGCAAAAAATTGGAATAAAAACATAATTAAATAAACCTGTTTGGCTGTTTCTTGGACAACCCATTATCGAACAAAAACATAATCAAATAAACCTTGAGAAAAAGACAATGTCCATCATATCGAGTACATGATCAACCCATGATCGACCAAAAACATCTTAAATTACAATCCCAAAATAAACCGAAGTTTAGATATAATCCAACTAACTTGAAAGACAAATACATAAATTTGCTAGATTACTAACTTGAAACTCCCAAATGGCCAAACTCGTCAACCCAAGCTTTCACTTCCCTTAGCTTCCTATAAAATAAAATGTATGTAAAAGACTAAATAAATAAATATACCATAATCATTGTCCATAGTATTGTAATTGTAGTTACCTCTTCCACATCATAATCATACTCAATCGTACGGCAATATGCTTCGGTCTCATCAGAACAAGTTTCTATAAAGAACACAATGTAGTATAAATAAATAAAACGATTGAAATATTAAATATATAACTAAAAAGAATTCACAACTAAAAACAAATATAAGATTACCTCGTATTTYATTCAATAGCCAACTTTGAGCACACATTAGAGCCTCCAATGTTTTTGGATGAAGTCGACTACGATGTGGAGTCACCAATCTTCCACCGGTACTAAATGCAGATTCCAAGGCGACAGTTGAAATAGGAACGACTAATATGTCTCTAGCCATCCTTTGAAGTGTTGGGTATTTAAACCCATTTGTCTTCCACCAATGTAGCAAAGCAAGTTCCATGTCTTTAGGCAAAAGTTTCTCTTTCAAATAATTATCCAATTCTGTTGTAATACCAGAATCATCATGTTGGTTGGCAAGTGAAGCAATATTTAATAATAGTTTTTTTAAATTCAACCCGATGACTTGCTGAACACCCTGAACTTAAAGAAGACGAACCACTAACACCTTCGATGTTGTTTCTTACGCCAGGATCACTAAACTCATATTCTTGAAATAAAGTGTAGACCAATTCCTTAAGCTTTTCAAGTTTAGTTGCGGATTTGTCTTGTCCGTACAACACGAGAAAAAGTAACTCCACAAACTTCAATTTATACCGAGGATCTAAAACCGCTGCCATTCCCATAATCCCATGTATAACAGACCAATACTTATCAAACTTCAAAAGCATCTTCTTAGCCATGTTTCTAATAACTTCACTAGGAGAACATGACCAATCGACCAAAGAATACCTAATTTCACATATCGATGGAAAAAATACATTTGTRATGGGATACTTTGAACCAGAAAACATTACTGTTACCTAAGAGTGCCAAAAAAACAAAAAACTAAAGTTACCTCATATCAACAAAACAAAAGTAAAGTTTAAGTAAAAATTAGAATTACCTCATAAAATAATTGCAATCTATCACAAATCTTTTTAGCAAACTCCCAATCCTGCTGCGTTGGCAAACTTTTATATTGAGACTCTCGTTGGTGTAAGCGTTGAAATACGTCTTTGTAAACTATAGCAACACTAATCATCAAATAAGTAGAGTTCCATCGAGTCCTGCAATCAAGTGCCAATTTCTTGGTGGAAGATATTCTCAATTGGCGAGCTGCTTCCTCAAACTTTTGATCTCTTTTTGGCGATACAGTCCAAAAGGCCACACTATCTCTAATCCTTTCAATCCCGTCCCCAAGAACAGCCAATCCATCTTGAATTATCAAATTAAGAACGTGTGCGCAACATCGCATGTGGAACAACCTCCCACCCATCATAAGTGAACTCATAGGAAGCTTGTCCAACAATATGTTGATTATTGCATCATTTGTGGTGCAATTATCAACAGTTAGTGTAGACAGTTTCCTATCAAGATTCCAATCCAATAAACAATCATAAAGTACATCCGCAAGAACTTCAGATGTATGTGGACAAGGCACATAAATAAACCTCATGATCCGACTTTGCATATTCCAATTTTGATCAACAAAGTGAGCAGTGACCGCCATAAATCCTTTTTTTTATTGTTAGCCATCCACATATCAGTCGTAATTGCTATCCTACTAGTGTTCTTCTCTAACATCTTCAATGTATTTTGTCTTTCAAAATCATAAATCTTTACTATGTCACTTTTAATGGTGTTTCGAGACGGAACCTTAAACAAAGGTTGAAGACCCCCCACAAACTTTCGGAACCCATGATGTTCTACTATTGACAGTGGATACTCGTGTATGATTATCATCTCCGTGAGATTTCTTCTTGATTTATCCGTATTAAAAGTATAATTAAAAACATACGATGAAGTACCATCAACCTTATTTTGCTCCCCTACTAAGATATGTTGGCGTATATCTCGAACAGGTCGTCTTGCACAAGACTTGAAATGATCATGTAAATGCCTTGTACCAATTTTCGAATTCGCTCCCAATTTCTTTTTGCAATAGTTACACTCTGCGTTATCATTACCATCCACTTTTATCTTCTTAAAGTGGTTCCATACTATTGATCGTGTTTTCCTCTTTCTACCCCCGACTCAATTTCATCATTATTAGAGACATCATTAGTGTGCGTTTCATTTTGAGTCACTGAATTAATCGCAGGTGATGAACCAATTGGCTTACTTTGTGAAATAGACTCATTCATTTTAGGATGACTATCAGTAGGAGTGATTGTGTTGGAGTCATTACATTGCATTTCCATATCTGACATCACCTATGTAAAGACAAACAAATTAAATAATATCAAGTTACCAAATTCTAATATTCACTTAGATGATAGTAGGCAACAAGATTCACATACTTTTTAGGGTTATATAGACTTCTATAGGATTTATATAGACTTCTATAGGATGTATTAATGTTACAATTAATTTAAACATATTTACAAAATGAAATCCAAAAAGGACCACCCCTTTCTTGAAAGGCTTTGACAGTATTAGGGAGTATCCACAAATTTCAACAATCCACAAATTTCAACAATCAATGGTACTCAAAGTCTCAAATATGTACTAATAGGTTATACACAAGCCACATGAATGATGAATCTAATTCTAAAATCTAAAAAGTGGGTCTGATTATTAATTGTTGTTCCATTCTAAATAGGTTATAAGCAAGCCACATCAATGAATTTAAAGCTGCAAAACATGTAATTTGAGAGGGACATGGATATGGAAACTGGAAAGTAATCTAATCTTACTATCTGAGACTGAGAGGGAGCATAAGTATACAGTTAGCAAGCTAGGCGTACCTTCAATTTGAGAGCAGCCGACGTTAGGACTGTTAAGGGTAGAGGGCCGCTGGCGTTACGACTGTTAAGGGCCACCGACGGTAGGACTGTAGGAAGGCCGCCGGTGGTAGGACTGTAGGAGAGCAGAACAGCCGGCGTTAGTCTGTAGGAGAGAGCGAGTCAGCGAGGCGACGTGAGACGATGGTACGAGCAGCGAGAGGAGAGGCTAGCCGAGAGCGAGATGAGAGGCTAGCCGTTAGAAGGCATCGGCGACAGGGACAGGGTTAGTCGGTTCGACAATCGACGACGACGTTCGTTCAGTCGGTTGAAATTTGATTATTTGAATCGAGGAGACGTGAGATGATGGTATGAGCAGCAGCAGACGTGAGTGAGAGGGTGAGGACGTGAGGTCAAGAGTGAGGCTCAAGTCAATGGACAATTGGGTGGGCTTAAGAAGAAGCTTGGGCTTTGGGTTTATAAAATTGCAAAATATTGAAATTTAAATATATTAATATATTATATATATTATCGGGCCGGTCCGGGTTGGTGAGTACCGTCCCCGTCCCCGTCCCCGATATAATCCCCGAAACTACCCCCGATCCCCGCCCCGATCCCGTTAAGAGGTCCCCGAAACCGACCCGAATTGTTCGGTTTTCGGTTTTCACCGTCGGTTTCGGTTTTTTTGCCATCCCTAAGCGTCGGCTACCACGTTGACTTTTCCTGGGTGGTAAATGATTTCACAATCATAATTATTAACAAGTTCAATCCATCGACGCTGCCGCATATTCAACTCTTTCTGGCTGAATAAATGTTGTATACTTTTATGATCAGTGTAGACCTGACACTTTGTTCCCAGAATATAATGCCTCCATATTTTCAAAGCAAATACCACTGCTGCTAATTCCACATCATGAGTTGGGTATTGATTCTCATGATATTTTAGTTGTCTAGAAGCATAAGAAATCACCTTTCCTCTTTGCATCAGGACACAACCCAACCCTAATTTTGAGGCATCGCTGTAAATTACAAAATCTTCTGGTCCATCTGGTAGAGTCAACACCGGGCACTGCAGAGATGATTTTTCAATAATTGGAAGGCTTTTTGCCGTTCTTCCTTTCACTAAAATTTAACATTCTTTCGAGTCAATTTGGTCAATGGCACATCTATTTTAGAAAAATCTTGAATAAATTTAGGGTTATTCTATCTCCACCCCCTCCTACTATTTTCCTCCTATTATTTCTGTAACACCCCAACCACACATTGCTTATAACACAAATTTCATATATAGAATACATGTTTTCCCCACATAGGTCCTCGATACAAGAGTCTATAATATAAAATACACAGCTCAAAAATTCCAAAAGTACAAGCTCTTGCGTCCTATCATCTATGCTTCCAAAAACAGCTAAGCATATAGGGAAGTAATTCACACAATACTCTTTCACTTATCATTACCTGCACACATAATTTTGGAAACACGAAAATGAGGGTTAGACATGAATGTCTAGTGAGGTTCCCTTCTATGTGATGCAGGGTGAAGATCACCAAAATATTTATTTCAAATCAAATATCTTATGAAGCAAAACTGAAAACATACTACTTCGGTCCATCGGGCCTCTGGTTTCAAACAACACTTAGAAAATATTTCGACATCCAGGACCAGGGCCCCTCTGGTCTCTCTTGCAGAGCTTCTGGTCTTCACGACCAGAGCCTTTGGTTGAACCAACCAAACTTGGAATATAATTTGACATTCAGGACCAGAGCCCCTCTGGTCTCTCTTCCAGAGCTTCTGGTCTTCACGACCAGAGCCGCTGGTTTCAGTAACTAGACTTTAGAATATAATTCGACATTCAGGACCAAAGCCCCTCTGGTCTCTCTTCCAGTGCTTCTTGTCTTCATGACCAGAGCCTCAAGTTCTAAACCACACTTAGAAAATATTTCAACATAGGACCAGAGCCTCTCTGGTCTCTCTTCTAGAGCTTCTGGTCTTCATGACCAGAGCCTCTGGTTATACTAACCAGCACCTCTGGCCTTCAACCAATAAGATAACCTTTTTCATAAAATGAGCAATTTATAAAACGTTCATGTTCGACCAGAGCCTCTGGTTGTACTAACCAGAGCTTCTGGTTCAAAAGACATGACCAACCAGAGCCCCTCTGGTTCAATGTGTAAGTCAACCAGAGCTTCTCTGGTCTGTTTTTCATAAAAAGACTAAGTATAAAAATCTTTTCTTAAAACATCTGAAATACGATTTTGACTCGAAAGCGCTTAACAATAGATACAACACCTCTAATCCAATTAATACATTTAGTAAAAACTTGCTCATCCTTGAAATCAATAACCAGAATCCTCTGGTCCAATGATGAGGACCAACTAGAGCCCCTCTGGTTCCTTACAAGGAACAACCAGAGCCTCTCTGATTCCTCACAAAAATAACCATTTTGTTTCCAAAATACTTTTAATCAATATCAATGGCCATAGACCAAATTTAACAGAGTAAAATAAACCAAGAACACACAGTTAAGATGATGAAGAAGATGAACACATGACAATAGCTTCAAAGGTTTTTCAATTCATTCAATTGAAAATAAGACGATTACAATTCGGAAGCACACTGAATACAAAGGCCTTAGCCGCTATTTATACTAGTTCCTAACGACCTTACTGACAAGATCTTGACACGGGAAATCATCTAAGCCGTC